TTTTCGCTTTTGTGTCGGAGGTTTCAGTTTTTTTTCTTCTGACAATCAGCTTGTGTTAAGTAATGGTTTTGGTTTCCTCCTCAGCAATCTGTCACTTTAAATTGGCGAGCTTTATCGATATCAGTATTCAGCATCTGTTCTTGGACTTCATATTTTATCTTTTTTATGGGTTTTTGATTTCTATGTTCTGTTTGTTTTTTCTTTTTCTTTTTTCACTTCCTTTGGGAGCTTGTATGCTTGAATTTTTTTATTCCTATTCATATTATCAATGAAAAGTTTGTTTCTTGTTAAAAAAAAAATAGATGCTTTGGTTGCATTTTGCTACATACTTTCAAGGGTTATTTTTATTTTCATCTTCAAAATGAGTTACAACTTTGATCATCAACTTGATAGAGTATGATTCTATTATTTWTGGATTAGAGGGAAATTTACACGTAGAGGGAGATTCGAGAGCTCCCTAGCCTCTCCACAAATCCTTAACAAGGAAATAACCTACCAAAAAGATACTCCACCCTAGCACAGACTAAACAAACTCATTTCACTCCCAAAATGCCCTCTAACTAACTTGGGCCTGCAAGAATATTCTCTCTTCCCCTATTGCCCTTCTTCCTGACATATTTTTTATAATCAGGGTCTTAGCATATTTCTTTATAATCTGGGGTCTATCACAATTGTATTTGCCTTTTCAAGAAGACTTCCCTGTTTGTGAAGTTCTAACAGTTGTTACTAGGAATAATAGATTTTTATAGTTGAAAAATGCCCAACCRGTAAAATATTTGCACTTAACATTCCATTCATCTTCTCTCACTTATACCAAGCATTCTTCTTGACGAACCCACAATAGACTAGAAAAATAAAAGCTATTTCTTCCATCACAACAAAATTTGCGAAAATTCCACCTGGATACTTTGATATATGACTTAAAAACTTCTGCAGGTATGGAGGAACTGYCAGGATGACTACATAACTCCTCTATCAATATGGCATCCAAGGGCTCCAGAAGGCTTTGTCTCTCCGGGATGCATTGCGGTCGCCAATTTTGCTGAGCCAGAGCCCAACTTAGTGTATTGTGTGGCTGAATCACTTGCAGAGGAGACAGTATTTGAGGAGCAGAAGATTTGGTCGGCACCAGACGCGTACCCTTGGGCATGTCATATCTACCAAATGCAAAGCGATGCGCTCCACTTCGTCGCTCTCAGACAAAGCAAGGAAGAATCCGACTGGAAGCCTATGAGAGTTCTGGATAATCCCCAAGGTCTGTTGCAGTCATCAAGAGATCCCTGATGTTGGCAGCCAATCCTACAATACCAATACTTCTCAATTTGGTTCACAAGGAGAGCCCTTTCTCAAAGTTGCATCTCCAATTTGTATATCTTCTACGAAACTTCCTTTACTGGTCAACACACGAGATCAAATACGAACACGGAACACCTACGTCTTTTTGGCAGAAGATTATTTTGGTGCATATAGTGCAAACTGCAAGATCATCGAAAACAATGTGCCAAATTCGGCTGGTAAGTTTATCAAAGACCCTTGCAAATATACAATTTTATCTTCAAATTTATACCCTGGGGAAAAAAATTTATACTAGCTAGATGCTAAGAATCTATTAGCGAAGAGAATAAAACAGGAAAGAGGGTGGGGGTTATTCCAGAAGTATAGCTGTTTTACAGTGAAATTCTCGAGAGTTGGTTATATGATTGTTATTGATTTGTTTATAACTATTTTTGCATTTTGTTTATTAAGGTGTTGTCTGATGTATTCRATGATTTCATGACAATTTCATTTGAAGTTTTCTGTTTTTAAAAATTATCCTTATTTTTGGATAATTTGATTGGAAAGTTTTTCACCTCTCTTAAAAAAATAAATTTTTGAAAATTATCTTTTTTTATCTCTTTTATGTTTCCCAAATTTGTCCTAAATTTTTGAAATATTCATAAAACTATATAACAGAATAAAAGAACACAATAATGTTTCTAAGTTTAATTTTTAAAGACATAAAATTAAAAAGGAAAATGATTATCAAAGAAGGTTTGCTGTTTGGTTTTTTTGTCCTTTTCTCAATCTTTTTTTGTTATTGTTTCTTAATCCATGCCCAAAATAGAAAAGGCAATTTAGGTGTGCTGCATKTAGTTTTTCTCGTATTCTTTAAAACATAATTTATTTCAACTAGTTTGTATTTGAAATGTCATTTTTATTTATGAACTAACCTACAACAAGGATATAATTTTTGCTTGCTTTTTTGCTTTTATTCTGCAAAGTAATGTATGTCCACTGGTTTGTTTTATAAAATATCAGAATTATTTGTGAACTAAAAAGCAATAAAAAAGAGAGAATTTATTTAAAGTCGGTAAAAGTGTTTTAATAAATCCCACTCGGCCCTGTAGAAATAAATAAACCCATGGAAATATATCACATTAGGAATTCAATGCATGGTGTTCATCAGAAAAAAATAAGTTTGTTACTCCAGCTTGTCTGGTTTGTGGGATCGTTGCTTTACACTTGGTTTCCTAGTGGTGTCAGCAGATGTCATTATTCTAACGTAGCTTCTCTTTAATAAATTTCCTTTGTTAAAAAAAAAAGAAAGAAATTAGAGAAAAATAATAAAATATACCGAGTTAAATGTTATTGAGAGTTATTTTTCAAATCTTAGAAATTTTTTGGTAAAAATTAATTTTGTCATCATCACCATTAAAACAGTATTAAATTTTTTATAACAAATAGATAGCACAATAAGACTTTTTTAAAAAAATAATATATTATCGTGAGGACAAAACTTAGTCCGTATTAAAAAAAAATTAATAGGATATTGAGAATATGGTAATTGTTATGATAGTAAGAATAAATAGGTAAGTCAAATGTAAAAATAGTTCAATTAATTTAGGTATTTATTTAGTTTGAATGTTTCACAAACAAATAGATAAATTATGGATGGAAGTTCATTATTTCTCAATTGTTTGCTAGTGATCTTGGAAAATGATTCTAAATAGKTTCGRAATAATTACCTCATTTGAAAATGGTTCTAAATAGTTTCGGAATAATTACCTAATTTTTAAATGATGCAAAGKTTTTTTTTTTTGGTCAATCACTATTGACATCCCTCCATCAGGCAAAAACTTGTTCCTTGYTCAGAACCGAGAATGTCGCTGCTGCCAGCGACCAGTCTCTCYCTGTCCGACAGCAACCGCAGCCCACTATATTTCCCAACTTCCCGCCATCACTCTCCTCGATTCGGGCTGCGAACAAGCAATCCTCGTCCAATCTGGAGCGAGCTTCTCGAAATAATTCCATGCAAACTACGAGTATAACAAGATACTGACAAATAAAAGAAATTGCAAGAATCAAATTATGGCTTGGCTTGAATTGATCCCGTCGTCCAACTAGCGACTGATTTGAAAGACGTAAGTTTCTTCAAATCCTCCCATGGCTTCTCCACCACGATCGCGTGCYACTACTTTGTAATTGAACCTCCGACAGCCTCAAATCCTCCATTATTCTTATTCTCCCTCTCTCCAATTCATCGACATATTCAATCCAATCACATCGACGGCCCCTAATTTCATCGCCGACTTCTTCAGCATCATTTCTATTTAGTTCTTCATAATCGTCTTGATGTAAAGTTCTTCATAATCATTTTGATGTAATAAATTTATACAAAACGGCAAAGTGCTAATCTCGTTGTTCAGAAGGGTATAGTTGACGAAGAATTGAAGGAAAGTGTGAGTGATGGCAATATGACATACAACAACAAAGTTCCACTTTGGGCCTCAGAGAAAACAAAACAAATTTTGATGTGCGTTGGTTCTATTCTAAAGATCCATCACTGCTAGACCACAACCATCGTGCCAATCAATGTAACTGAAAGAGTGAGAGAAATGAGTTCACAAGGAAAAAAACAAAATGTTGATAAACAAATTACAATTTGCTAAATATTTTAGCTCCCTTTTTGTTGGTTCTTGAGAAAACAACAGAGAGACGAATGTCTATCCATGGTTTGAATTGGTTTTCAGATGTATTTCTTTTCTTTATGAAAGATGAATGAGATTTATCGAGGAACTACTGACAAACGCCAAGAAACCATCTAAATGTTGAAAGCTTACCTCGGCATAGCTTCTATTGTCTAGATACCACGAAAATTCATCCAAATGGTCAAAAGACACTTTCATCTATGATGAATGTTCTCCAAGAACACAATATCGGGTACAGAAAGAATCCAACCACAGAAAAATTCTAGAAGACATTCACCGGCTGAACTTAGGCCTTTGCAAGTATGCATTTCTACAGAATCTTCAACAAACCCAAGGAAAATTTACGAGTCATTTATCCAAACTGTTGGCTGAAAATCCTTTAATTTCCAAGCACTCGAAGCCTTGACCTACCCATGCTCCTGAGGTTGCAACACCACCTCTCAGATATCACCAGCATACTTCAAAACATACTTGATATAAATTCTGTATACAAGTAGAATACATGGAGAAATATGTTCGCCTTCAAAATGCCTTGAAATCAATATTTCAAATATCAATGTTATTAACTCTTAAGGATAAATCTGTCCAAAATTTAAGAATCTCCTTGTTCAATAAGTTAAAATTTGACGTTCGTTAATCAACAATAATGAACTTATCCAAACCTAATCGAACCGATCAGTAAAGGCACGTAAATAATAGCTTTCGAAGGTGCATTTGAAGGACAGAACATACAGTGCCAAGTCAAGAATTAGAAGCTGCAGGAGAAGAATCGGAGTTGGAACTTCCGCGGCGTAGATCTTGGATCAAATCTCCCAAGTCTTTTCGAGCGGACTCTCTTCCAAACATGAAACCATACCTGAGAAAAATGGAGCAAGATGAATTACGAAATCCAGAGAAGAAAATGGGGAACAAATTCACAAACAAAGTAGCAGGAGGTGAAAGAGAGAAGTAAAGTCGCACCAGAATGAAATCGCAGAGAAAGCTCCAGCAGTTGCAATTGTCTGAATGAGAGTGAACGATTTCTCCATTGTAATTTCTCAGAAATTCGACGCCCAATTCGGGGGCATTCCTCTGGTATTCACCGAACCAGAGAGAGGGAGAGAGGTGGAGCGGTTTTGGGCCCCAKACAATTTAGGCCCATAGAGAAAGGTTGTTCGGTATTAGGCTTCGAACAGTTAGGCCCAGATATAGAGAATTATGCAACTCTAAAATTTTAAAATAAACTTTAAAATATCRATCTCAAATTTTTTAAAAAAAAGCTCGAATCAAATCGAAGATTGAAAATTTAAAATTAAATGAATGAGAAAAGTACAAAACGCAAAAATAAAAATAAAAACATAAATCTAGAAAGAATCAAAGTAGAGAATAATTGTGAAAATAAAGAGAGAGAATCAAAATTTTGAATGATTTTTAAGACCGAAAATCTAGGATTTAGTTTTTTTTTCTTTTTTTGAAAGGCAATCTAGGATTTGGTTGGGAGTTGTTTAAAAATATATTTATTTTTTTAAAGTAATTATTTTATGAAATTTGAATATAGCAATAAGGGTAAAAATGAAAAATGTCATCTAACTTAATTGCTCTCTAAATTCGATCGCCATTGCCGTGAATTATTATCCCTTTGGTCATAATGTCATCCAACTTAATTGCTCTCCAAATTCGATCGCCATTGCCGTGAATTATTATCCTTTTGGTCATTTATTAACACTAGTGTACCAACGTGCAATGCACGTATAAATTTTTTTAATTATAAGATAATTTAAATTTTATATAATTTCACGTAAAATATTTTAAGTATAATTATTTTAAAAAATAATTAAGATTAATTTTTATATATATTTATTATTATTGACAGCTAATTACTAATAATAAAATRTACTATTTATAATTATTTTTAAAATATACTATTATAGTTAATTGTTAATGATATATTTTGTAAATAAATAAATTAAAAGTAAAGGAAAAAATTATATATTAATAAAAAAGTAAATAGGTATTTTAATATTTTTATTTTTAAATTAKTTCAACCTAATATGGGTCCTTTATTTTATTTTTTTAATATTTTGTTTGTTTATTAAATATTTGTTTAGGGCTAACGTTTTGTTGTATATGTTGAATTTTTTAACTAAAACTAAATTATTTTATTGATTTAATTTTATATTATAATTAAAACTATTAAAGAAAAATTCTTCAAATTATATTATTAGAAAATAAAATGACCAAAAGTTTTATATTCCACCTTTTACGATTCTATACAAATTATTGTTTATAATTAATTTATTACTTGAACATTTTTTTATATACTGACTTGTATGATTGTTTTTTTTTTCAACAATAAGAACATGAGCTTGTAATTATCTATATTTTAAACAAATATTCTAAATAAAATTGCTAAAAATACACTAAACAATAAAAACATTAGTAACAAAAAAAAAGTCCAAATCCTAAACTAAATAAAATTGCTAAAAAAAGAAACATTCCAAATAAAAAACACACTAATTAGAAAAATAACAATAGTAACAAAAAAAATCCAAGTACTCACTATACACTCATCTTTTGAAAGAGTAAATATGTTCATTCTTGAAGATTGCTTGACAGATACTATTATTCAATTTTGTAAAATTGTGGAATGGTAATGTTACAAACCTAGTATTCGAGATATGTAGATTCAACATATGCCTCTCTTGCAACTTGATGAATATGTCACAAATATCTCGAGATGTTTTCAAGATTGAATCATCTTTGAGAGATRTTTCAAGGAACTAAGAATAAAAAARTATTGAAACTTGTAAAAAACATGTAGAAGAAAACCTATTTTTATAGTAGTAGAGGATAAAACGTTACAAAAGCTTTTCAAATTCTAAAAATCTTTGAAATTCTAGTATGAATTTTAATTAAACAAAAATTAATTTTATGTTGTTGGAARACTTTTTGCATTCTAACYTTTGATATTCCATGCATTTATAGTATTGATCATTAATAATTAATAATTAATTTAATATTTGTAATAATATATTAATGGCATAATTTGTAAATTTGTAAATTTAGTAGGGGGTAAAAGTGTCCAAAAATGKTTTTCCTACATCGTACCTTYTTAATATAGTATAGATAGCAGTATAAATACAGCTACTATCTCAAACTTTTCAAGATTGATCAGTTTTGGGCTTCTAGTAGTTTAGGCTAATAGAGAGAGAGATCAGACTGGTTTTGGGCTTCGAGCATTTTAGGCCCATTCATAGTCGATCGGTTTTGGGCTTCGAGCAGTTTAGGCCCAAAGCTTTGAGCCACATAATACATTTGATGATCTAGAAAAACGGTACARAATAGGGATGAGTAGATTGATAGGACTATAATTACAAGAATTGAATGGTATAAAATTTACACTTTTATCATGAACCTCAATGGTACCACCACCCAATTTACTAATATATCGTTTCGTGTATCACCTCAAAATTAATTAATTTTAAAAATCCAAAATTGATTACTTACATTTTAAATCCCTTAAATTTTGTTTAATTAGACTTCCAAAGTGAAAAATATCAAATTCCCAAAATACTCCGTTATTGAAAAAATTCGAAAACCTCATTCCTCCAACTTTTCTTCTTCTTCTATTGTTCAGTTTCCACAACTGCGTGTCGATCATTCCAGCCCTCCGTTTATTCCGACCATTGTCTAGTCGCCGACCGGAAGGTTTGYAGGTTATTTGCTTTGTTTGTTAATTATAGAGGGATATARTCATCTATACTTTATAAATGTTGCTTAAGTTTATAGTCGGATATAGTTTATATTTCCATATAACTAAAAAGGTAGTCGGATAKWKTTTWTATATATATMTATATAAGTGTATGTTATAATGACTATATTATTAAAATTTGGCAAAAAAAATGTAATAAAATGAAAAAATCTTTGTAATAAATTTAATTATTTAGTAAAATATATTAAGTAGTAAATTGGGAGATTATGATAATAATTGAATATTTTGTAATAAATTTCATTCTTTAGTAAAATACATTAAGGAGTAAATTAGGAAATTATGAGAATGATTGATTTTGGTCCCAMAATAATTTAATGTTTACAAAATCAAATTTGGAATATTAATCTTTTGCATTTAAATAAAAGATAAATTATAATAAATATAAATGTCATAAATAAGGGYAAATTTGATATTTAAAATAAGTTTTAAATCTAGAAATCTAAGACGGTAAAATTTGTAAGCATTGGACCATTTGTGAAAATAAGTTTGCAAAATAACTTATCTAACACATTATCTCTACAAAATACCAATCAATCCGGATCAGCTAATCTTTCTACTTCTTTGATGATAAATAAAGGTATAACAGAAAAAGGACTATGTTCAGATGGATGAATAATCAGAGCAATATTAATATAATAATCAGGGCTATACTAAGCCATCATACAAAAAATTGATTGCTCAATTACCAATTTGTTTCATTATTCTGTGGCTGTTGTTGAGATGAGAAGTTTCAGCATCAGCCATTTCAGAATTCAGATTTTCTCACTTAACACCCGGATGACCAACAGGAATCCTCTTAACTAAACTCTCTCCTATGATTCTTCTAATGCTTGCTTCAGGCTTTCGACCACTTCCGACATCATTGGTCGATCTTTTGCAGTCTTGTTGAGACATTGGTTGGCTAAGTTGGCTACTTTTCGAGCTGCAGCCAGGTWATACTGGTTTTGAAGCCGAGGATCTATTATCGTCTTGAACCTTTTGCTGTTTGCAGGAAACTGTTTCACCCACTCCAGTAGCTTTTGCTCAACSGTTGGTCGATTTCTTTCCAGAGCCCGCCTACCCGTCAGGATCTCATACAGCACTACTCCAAAACTCCATATATCACTTTGCATTGTTAAATGTCCAGTGACGACATATTCGGGCGCTGCATATCCATATGTCCCAACCACCTGATGATTGTGCAACCAGCAAAAATCAGATTTACAGGGTGATCATACTACACTATTGATGCTTCTTTTCATAAATCTACAAAGTTTTACTACAATGGTAGAAATCAATACGAAGTTGAGTAACTTGACTTCTAAAAGAACAGCCATKTTGTAACCTTTCCCAACTCTAGAAGGCAAAATAGCAAAATTACTACGTCAAAACTATAATGCGCATAGTTTTTAGATCATAGGATAGCTAGTTCTACAGAATACCAGTGTTGTAAACTTTTGTTAGAGATGTGATTGGGGCTTTCATTGTTGAATGAGAAAATTGAAAGCAAGCTTACAAAAATGGCTTTTCTTGAAGGCTAAAATGAACTTCATTAAACTCATTAAGTCAGGAACTTACTGCAGTGGACACGTGTGTATCATCACCAGTCGGTCCTTCTCTAGCAAGCCCAAAGTCTGAAAGTTTTGCAGAGAATTCTTCATCCAATAGCACATTTGATGATTTGAAGTCGCGATATATCACCTTTACAAATTCAGAGCAAGCAAAACGTATCAAGTTACTGGGGAAAGATTGAATTGAATATTATGTAATACAGCAAGTCATTAATAACCATCAGTCCTTATGAATGCAGCAACTCAACATTAGTTGTTTAAAATGAAACGCTAGTCAGCTCGTCAAAAGGCATATGCAACCGGACATAAAGGCATAACAATATGAAACTTAGCATGAAATCTTAATTGAAGCAAATGTCAGCTGATCATTATAGTACAAATGCATCAAAAGAGTGATCTAGTCCTTAAATAACACAGACTGTACCTGGACTTCTAATCCTTCATGTAGATAAGCCAATCCTTGAGCTGCACCAAGGATAATGTGTAGCCTTGATTTCCAAGTCAAAAGAGGCATACTCCTGCTAAAGAGATGATCTTCTAGGCTTCCGTTAGGCATGAATTCATATACTAACAGTCGTTGGATCCCTCTTTCTCCATCTTCTGAACAGTATCCCAGAAGTTTTACCAGGTTTGGGTGACTAACGACACCAAGAAATTGAACTTCTGCAAGCCATTGTTTATGACCCTTGTACAGCAGAAGAAAATAATGTTATGAAGAGTGACCAAAACAAAGGGAGATGGCCTAATAAAATGAAAACAGAAGATAAGGAAACAAAAACGATAATTGAAGCTCTGTTTAAGCTCCTTGACTGCAGCAAATAAGGAAAAAGTAGCAATTACCTGTGAGCTATTTGGCTTGAGCCTCTTAATGGCAACTATGATTTCATCTCCCCGATCACCTTCAAGCCTTAATTTCCCCTTATATACACTCCCAAAGCCGCCTTCTCCAATCCTAAGCGTCCTATTGAACCCATTTGTCGCTTTTTTTAGCTCTTCCAAAGTGAAGACTCTCAGAGTATGTTCCTTCTCTTTGTACAATTCAGGTATACTCCGCGGCAAAGGCAAAGTTTCCAATGCTTCAATCCCACGATTGGTAGTTTTACGATCCGATTTATTCCTTTGGCTCAGTTCCTTATTCGATTCTCCAACACCTCTTTTGATCTTAGTTTTTCGTTTAAAATTGAAGAAACAACCCATACTTAAAAAAAGCTAAAACTCAAGCGGCGGTGACTTTTATCATCCAACTCACTCGCAAAAAAAGAAGTTGCAAACGAAAGGGTACCCGTACCCAATCCAGAACTCCAGAACACCAACAAAAGTCAAATTGAAAACGGAACTAGAAATTCACAAGCAGAAAGAGGGAAAAACCAGCAAATTGCGTCCAAAATCAATCAACTGAGGAAAATTGAACTAGATGCTTGGATGCTAAGAAATGTACATACGCAAAATCAGAACACGACAAACAATTGAACGAAGCGGTGCTACACGGTAGAGAAATCCCACATATATGTCGAACCAAAAGCGGCAAACGAGATTGAACAGTTAAAACAGCGCAGAGCCTACGTAGACACGGTTACGATCAAAAGAAGAAGATGTCGTGTAGTAAACGGGAGAAAAGATTTTGATTATCCATAAGAAATAGCTACGGAATGGAACTGAATCAAAATTTTGGACGCAAACGGAAAAAACCAGGAAAGAGGAGGAGAAGAAGAAAGACCTTTCAACATTCTGCGCTGATTTCCATGAATTCGAGCGACCAACTGCATCGAACAAGTGACGCATGGCGCGCGGTTAAAAGAAGATTCCGACGGCTTCTTGACGAAAAGTCATCGCATTCACATGCGTCCCTTTTCCTCCGATTTTCCTTGCAAGAAAATTTTTTTAAAATAAAATAAAATCTTTGTCTAACTGTGCGAGGGACAGGATTTTTTATTTGGATATATAATTAATAATTACATTGCATTTACTTGATAGTATTTACCTAACTAAAATAGTAATATCAAAATCCTACGAGTCTTTTATATATATTAAAAATAAAATAAGATTCCAATTTAATCTTTATATCTCGGTAAAAGAAAAATACATCTAGTCCTTCTACTCTCATTTAAAGTAATGATTTAGTTACTGATTTAATTTTTATTTAGTTACTGATTTAATTTTTATATAATCAAATTGTTAACAATTTGGTATATGAACTTTAGCATGTAACAATTTAATCTTTATTGAAAAAAATTTCGTTAAGTTTCTCATATATGTAGATCAATAAATTGACGAAATACCAACTGTTTTTATGAATTACAAAGACTAAATCGTTAAATGATAAAAAGAAATGACACTTAATTTTTATGAGATTTTTTACGAACTAAATTGGACTAAATTGTTAAATACTAAAGTCCATGAACTAAATTGTTAGGGACAAAATCGTCACGTTTAGAGACTAAATCGTTACTTTAACAAATGACAAGAACAATGTATTTTGTAACCTTATATCTTCAACTTTAATTCATTTTCGTATGCTTTCAAAATATGTATTTTTGTTATTGTATTTTTACAAACTTCTTTATTTTGRTCCTTGAATTTAGAAAATGTTTGATTAARAARGTACATATTTCAACTTTCAAAATTTCTCTTTTTGTTTTTAAGCTTTCATTATTTTATAAAATATTCTGATTTACTTTTATTTCTCTTTTAACATAAATTATGCGACTTTTAAGTATATGTACCTTAATGTGTTAATGTCGGATCACAAATATTGAAACCACGAAACCATGTAAGATGGTCGGGGCAGCATTGGATGGATTAAAAAAATAAAGAAAAAAAAGTTACAAAATAATACTTGATAAGAAAATAATAACATAGGCAAAAATTAAATTAGAAAGTTACTCCCTAAACCCACCAATAAACCCCACAAAATTCAACAACAAAACACTTAAAAAAGATCACCAAACTCAAACTAAACCACATACAAATATTTAAACATAACAGCAACTTTTAAGTACGGTTAAAAAATAACTTAATAGAAACTAAGTTAAAAAATACATCTAACATTACAAAAAATAATTAATTCGATCACTCATTCAACTTCAGATTCAATTGGATGAAATAAAAAATTCAAGATTAAAATTGACAAAGTAAAACTGAGTTAAATATAAAGGTTATTAAAAAAATAAATTAAAATAAATAATATGAAAATTTTTGCATATTGTGAGAAGAAGGCGAAACCTGCGTAAGATAAATACCAAGCAAAGTGACAGTCTTGATTTCTTCAGAAAAGAAAAAAAGACAACAGAAAAAAAAAAGACAACAACAGAAACAATAATAATAAATAAATACTTATGTCGTTGTTTCAATTCTCATGTTGTTAAATATTTATTATTTTATGACAAAACATTGTTCTKCCACGCTTCAAATATCTATTAAAAAAGTTGAAAATATGGAAAAGCTCATTTGTCAAAAAGTATTAGGTGGGGCAATTATAATTCAAGTTGCACTCTTCTTRGGGTGAAAAAAAGAAGGATTTAAATATAATATCCTATTGAAGAATATTAAAAAAACTCAAACATATTTTTTATCCATATATTTTCATTAGAGTAATAATTTAGTTTATAACAATTTAATCATGTACTTTTAAATGGATAACTATTTAGTTTTAATTTAATATTCGTAGTTTAAAACTTATGATTATTCAATATCGTAAAAAAATATTAAAATTAAGTATTAAATTTTATTATAATAATCTAATTTTTATAGTACTAATTAGATCATGAATCTATATAGATATAATAAATTACATTAAATTTTAACGATATTTTTCATTATAAAAATTAAATGGTTACAAATTTTAAAATGAAATTGTTACAAATTAATATTAAAAGGTTAGGTCCAAATTATTACTTCATTTTAATTCTATTAAAATCGAATTTAGTTGTAAAGTAAACTTGGAACTTAAAAAGAGGGTTGTTTTTCAATGGCTTGTTTAGTCAAGGTGGGGTTCAAAGCTTGGTCAATATTGATAAGCACAAACCCAATTCCTATATTATATAATATATGGTATTAGGAGCAAAATTGGTGGCATCACTTTGAATAAATAAAATAATAATAATTTAAAATAAAAATAAATAAATAATAAACTCTCTTCAAACCCAATTCCTATGGTTTTGTTGGACAAAATTTGGTGGCATCACTTTTTGAATAAAATAATAATAAAAAAACATATACGTATGCTTTAAGAACCCAATAATATATTTTTCAAAAAAGTCTTTACCTTTTAAAAGACTGGTTTTTAAGACATTGATAATGATTTCGTTTTGTTGTTTATGTTTTAAAATATTGTACCTACTTGTATGCTTTTTTATCATTTTTATAAATAGTGTTTGTAAACTAAATTTTCAAAAATAGAAAGAAAAAAAAAGAAATGTTTTCCAACCTAAATTTTCAGGTTGTTTATGCTTAAATTTTTAAACTTTTGAAATTGCCACAATTTGTTAATCTCAACATAGTTAATATATATTTAAAGTATTTATTYTTTTACTTTAAAAAAAATATATAAGATTAGGAGTCAGTAACTGTCGGGATCGAAGAAACCRACTGTAATTTTATTTGGGTGATGTCAAACTATTTTATGCCCTTTGAGCCAAAGTTTCTCCACTCTCCGATTCAATTCAACGAAGTATTATTACAAACTTTGACTTCCACTTTTTGAATCCATATATTGAAAGAAAAAGTTTGCTAAGATTTAAAAAATAAATAAATAAAAGGCTGACGAGATTATTTAATTTTGAAATTTCAATAAATAGGTATTGTATTTTTTTTAATTTGGTAAAGTTACTGTCATTTCAAATTCCATCCTTTTCTAAGACTTGTTTTCGAAACTCTTATATCCCTCCCGCCCCTTCTTGATATTTGTTTTTCTAATTAAGGTAAGGTATGTCGCAAGGGAAAAAAGAAAATTGAGTCTCACCACTCACTAGTGGAAATGAAAGGATATGATGGGGTTGGGAAGGAGGAAATTGCCTGTAGACAACCTTAATTTGAGTGTGAATAAAATATGATAACGTTCGTTATTTCTGACCTTTGTTGAGTTACAAATTAATTACTTCTTTCTATAGAACAATGTATAATTTTTCTCATTCCTTTTTATTTTTTACTTTTTTTCTTCACCCTCATCATCTTCTTCACATGTTTCATCTTTATTATTTTTATTTATGTTTCATAGTATGCCTTCATTATTATTTCTGATATGGAAATTGAAAATCATTTCTTTTTCTTTTTCTTTTTGTTTTCTTCATTTTGGATTCAAACTCAAAATATTTGATTCAATTGTTACCAACTAATTCACGAAATCAACGACAAAGCCCTCACAAAATGTTTAAGTCAGCCAAATCATATATGTTACATAATTAACACGAGTCAGACCTAAAAGCATTGTTGGAAAAGGACAAAAATGGAACCGTAAGCAATAATTTTTTGTGCTATGAATATATAGGACCATTGCTTGAAAGCAAAATCGACACGACCTTAATGATGCTAAATCGTTGTATTACTGGAATGCTTCCAAGACGTGCAAGTGAGTGGAACCAAACTCACTCGATCCATAATACAAATTTATTTTGTAAAAAAATAAAAAGCCCGAGTGTGTGGTCCATGTTTAGGCTTACCCTAAACTATATTTACAAGCTCACTACTAAAGTCTCCTCACAAGAGATAATCAAGGTTTATTTTACAATGTCATTATTATATCTCCATTGTATGAGAGATTTTGTAGGATAAAATCGCAAAGCTGTGAAAATTATGTTCAAAACAGACAATATTACAATAATATCATACCATTGTATCTGTAGCTGGTCTCGATGGAATTTCTTTTTGTCATTTAAATGGCAGCCTAACATTATATTGGAGGCACTTTTTCATCATGAAATACCTTTATCGTGCAATATCTCTCGGCATCGCTCCGCTCCCAATTCTCTCACTTGAATATCTCGCTATCACTAGTGAATTTCTCCGCTATTGTTAGCGAATTTTCCGAATTTCCCTCTTCTCTCGCTATCACTCGCCGATTTCCCTCCACCGAAATCCAATGAAAGAGCGGAGAACCAAAGCCTCCAATCTCAATCCAGATTCGAAGATGGTTGCTGACGGTGGCCTGAAAGTTCGGCGGCGGAGGCTTGATCGATGCAAATGGCCGATAGAGAGAGGAGGGGAGCGAGAGAGAGAATTAATTAATCAATTAGGGAGTTGTTTTCAAAAATAAAATAAAAAAGATAAAGATAACTGATCTTCTCGTGATTCTTTGTTAAACGATTATTTAAACAAGGGATACTAAAATAATTAACCTGTTGATAACTCAACAAGTTTTCTAGAAACAAGTCAAATCTAATTGAAAATAAACAATTAGAATAATAAAAATAATTTTTTAAAGTATATAAAAATAAATCTTAAATAGACGTCAAAGCGAGTTTAGCTTAAAGGTAATTGACATATACACATCATTAAAATTCTTTTTGATATTATTCTAGGGTGGAAAGTAATGTGAGATTTAATTAATAGAATAATAAATCAAATCATAATGTAAATGACTATAAATTTCATTATAATTGCAAAAATGTTTGAAAGTTCTCCACGAAAAATAGTAACAAGCAATAGAGAGACAACGATGGAAAAGTTGACATGGGTGGAAACTGGTATCTCCATTTATTAAAGTGTATAAGTGTTGCTTTTCAGTATTATTTTAGGGCTATTTCACAATGTCTTTATTTTAGACGAACTTCTACGAGATTTGAACTCATCCTCTCTTAATTAACTTTAGTCCATTTAGACCAATGAGCCACTATGATGGTTTCAATTTGTCCAAACTTGGTAGGTAATTTCACCTAACAATAAAAAAAAGGTAAAAGTACTATTTTGATTCTCGTACTTTAA